GAAACAATCCCCGTTCAAGGTACGCACAGTAACCCTCTGACGGTAGCAATCTATAACAGCCCGGTATGAAGACAACCAGTCCATACCCAATATAACATCAAAACAAGACATATCCATCAATACAAATAAAAAGAGAATGCGGCGATCGGCAACCTTTATATCACAACCTTGACACCCTTGTTTCAGAACCATCTCACCCTCAATAGGTGACACCACACAAATAGGAGATGCTAACTGGACCAATTCTAATCCCAAAATCGATGCAAATGCAGACGAGATAAATGAATGGGATGCACCCATATCAATCAACACATTAGTAACTGAATTGCAAAACAAGAAAGTACTTCTCACAACAAAAGGCGCTGGCACTAGATCTGGCGCGGTAACAGCATACGCACACCCTGTAGGTCTTTGATCTACCTGCTCACCCCTCGGAGCATAGGACTGATGCACTAATTGAGCTAAAGAGGCTCCTTAATTAGCCCTCGAGACCTACGCTGACTATGCTGGCTGGTGGCTCTGTGTCTGTTTTGAACCAAACGCGCCAGGTGTGCCACCCAACTGTGGGCAAAATCTCTTCAAGTGACCCACCTGCCTACATTGATAACAAGTCAGCGGCTGCCCTCTCCTTTGACTCTAGCTCTAAGAACGAGCCGAAGACAAAGCTGCTCGCTGCCCTCCTCCTCTTTGCGGGCAAGTCGGAGACTTGTGGCCCAACTGGCCACACTTGAAACAAGTGAAATCCCCCTGACCACCTCTCCCAGAAACCGAACTCGGTATTGGAAAAGTAAACCTTGACTGTGCTTCCTGGGACTGCTGAAGATTAGGACCTCTCTGCCTCTTACTGTCCCCTTGGGCATCATGACTCTTTTTAAAGCCCTTCATCCTCTCCTCCTTCATCTACATTACAGTCTCAAGATGAGTCATTGCCACCACGAGGCGTCCGTAATCTCTAATCATCGAACCGGCCACCTTAAACATTAGCCTAGTCCTCAACCTCTTCTCAAACTCCAAGCAACGGCGTTCCTCAGTCGTCACAAGCTCGGGTGTAAACCTAGACAAGCTAGTAAAGGTGGCTTTGAACTCTGCAACAGGTGTGTTCAATTGCACCAGTTTTTTTTTTTGGTGAATAAGTCATAAATAAAAAACAAAAGATTTACAAGATTACAAGAGGCATACCCAAGACCTAAAGCAGCTAAATACAAAACCAACCAAGAAGACAAAACTGTTCAAGATCCAAATTCCAATCAAAAGATAAGAAACATGAACAGAAACATAATCTATATATCAAACACCTACGTAACCATTGGCACAAACGTTAGACCAACTTAAGGAACACGAACCCTGCAACAAAACAATGAAAATCAAGCAACCGGTTTCTCAGTGCTAGTCGCACAAATTCATAGGAAAACTATTACAAACCCAAATATTACACTTATATAAAACATTCAGTTGTAAGAATTGAAAGAAAAAAAAAACCCCATAAAAAGTTACAACCATTACAAAAAGTAAAAGGAAAGAGGTATTCGCGTTCGAGATCTTCTTCAGACACCAGTCACCAGAAGAGGAGGATGAGCAAGCAGACCTGAGCCCTAATACAGATCAAGGCGGGATTGCAAGACTAGACATTGAAGGGGAAGAGCTGTTGGGAAAAGTGTTGGCTGACCTATTGGTGAGTTTTACGATGGAGCTGAGTCCGTTAAGTTGGGAGATAGTTTTATTATCTCAATGATCGGGGATACACCGGCAGCAGATTTTTTTGGGTGAATAAGTCATAAATAAAATAAAAGACTTACAAGATTACAAGGGGCATGCCCTAGGACCTAAAGCAGCTAAATACAAAACCAACCAAGAAGACAAAACTGTTCAAGATCCATATTCCAATCAAAAGATAAGAAACATGAACAGAAACATAATCTAGATATCAAACACCTATGTAACCATTGGCACAAGCGTTAGACCAACTTAAGGAACACGAACCCTGCAACAAAACAATGAAAATCAAGCAACCGGTTTCTCAGTGCCAGTCGCACAAATTCATAGGAAAACTATTACAAACCCAAATATTACACTTATATAAAACATCCCAGTTGTAAGAACTAAAAGAAAAAAAGAAACCCATAAAAAGTTACAACCATTACAAAAAGTAAAAGGAAAGACAAAGTATTTTCCATGTGAAGGAACTCCACTTAGACTGAAGCAGTAATGTACCCTGGTCTTGGTGATCCTCTGACAAGCTGCAGCCTCAATGGGGACAACACGGTGCTTACTCCACCACTGATTAGAGTAACCTAGGAAAACCAATAGCACATATATAAAACAAAGAAAACAGCAACACCTATTACACTGTATTGCACAAAGCTCACAATATATATGGGCTAAGTCACTCAACTCACACTGTACACACAACTTAACAAAGACTAATAACAATGATAAGTATTCGGGAATAACCATGGACTCTATGAGAGAGAAATAAAAAACTACAACAATTTATAGCTCACAAATCTCAACCCCCTACAATAACATCCCCTACCAAGTACCAGCCAGTTGTCAAAACTTGCAGGTAAATAAATAAGTTAGCACTCTGTATATGGCTAACATCACTTAACCCTCTTATAGTGACCTCACATCTCTCAATGAAAAGCTTCCACATATTACACCTACAAACAGAAAACCACATTAGAAAATAGATTAAACATGAGCCTCACTGTAGGAACTCACCAAACTCAACCCACAATATGAATCTCTCAAACACTCAACCCTCAGTTGATAACACTCCCCTCAATTTTAAGGATGGTTGGAGGCAACCTCCACCATTGCAAAAACCAGTTATCAGATTGAGACTGCTTGATATGGTTGAGAGAGAGAGAGAGCTCTATATCTGACCATGTAGAGAATGGCCTTCAAAATGATCTCCTCAGGTTTCCTTTCATTGCTGAAAATTCTGTTATTTCTTTCTAACCAATTTGATACATAGTGCAACAAAAAGCTAGTCTTTTGATAATTGTGGTAAGGGATTTACCCTTGCAATCCCTGGCCACAACCTCAACAAGACCTAGCCAGGTAGTGCTATGCCAGTTAGAGTTGCATTTAGCTTGCACAGCCAACCACACTTTGGATGAATAGATACATTTGAAAAACAAGTGGTCATGGTCCTCCTCAAATGACCCACAAAGATGGCAACTATGACTAGGGTTAATGCCAAAATTAACAAGTCTATCACCCGTATTTAACCTTCTCAGAACAGCTAGCCAAATGATAAAACCTACTCTAGAAATAGAATAGGGATTCCACACAAGATTGGCCCAGTAAATAGTAGGCCAATTAGATCTCCAAGTATGCCAAGCAGACCCAATGCTAAACTTACCATCCTTTTGAGGGAGCCAAATAATATATCATTGCTTTCCATGGAAGGAGTAAGGTCAGGAGGAGTGTGAGCAATGATTTCCTTCACAACCTAAGAGGAAGCATTAGGCCAGCACCAACCACCGTCTCTCACAACAGAAGCCACTTTAGACTGAATATTTAAGGCAGTGTCGTACACCAATCTATTACGATACCTAGCCCAAAGGATGCCAATTATCATGCCACAGAAAGGTATATACCCTATTGCCAATCTTGCATTTGATTAAAGGGAACAGAGACTCCTCATAGATAAGAGTTTCCTCCATACCCAAGAAGGGTCACAAGGAACCTTAACTTCCTAGAAGCTATAGCCTCTCAACAAATAGGATTTCACCCACTGACACCACATGGATTGCTCACCACCAGATATCAGAAACCAAGCATGCTTAGCCACAGCAGCTTTATTTCATATAGTCATAGACTTAAAACCTAAACCACCTTCATTTTTAGGGCCACAAACTCTATCCCAAGCAACCTTAGCACCAGTATTTTTAAGGTTGAGACCAGACCAAAGGAAAGACCTACGCAAAGCTTCCACCTTCTTAATAACTCTCTTAGGAAGAATGAAAAGAGAGGACCAGTAGACTTGCATGGAGAAAAGGATAGTGCTAATTAATTGGGCCCTCCCAGCATAAGACAGGGTGTTATTTGTCCAAGACTTGATCCTAACAGTAATCCTAGTCACAAGACTCTGGCAATCAATAGCTTTAAGTCTAGTAGGAATGAGGGGAACCCTTAAATATTTCACAGGGAGATGACCCTCCTGAAATTGGGTAATCCTTAATATATCATTTCTAAGGGAGTCATCACACCTAGAGAAAAAGACACGGCTCTTCTGAGGATTAAGAGCAAGGCCAGATAGGGATTGAAATTCCATAAGGCCAGTCTTGATAAGTTGAACAGAGGGGACGTGCCGTTTGCAAAAGACCATAAGGTCATCAGCAAAACAGAGGTTAACAATTCTATTTTTCCCACATCTCCAATGAAACTTAAACTGAGGGTTTTGGGATATCTCATTAAAGATCCTAGCCAGAATTTCCATGACAATGACAAAAAGATAGAGAGACATAGGATCACCTTGTCTCAAACCCCTAGCCCCTTGGAAATGCCCATGAAGGCTTCCGTTAATACAAATGGAAAAAGTAGCCGAAGTGACACAAGCTTTGATCCAGTGTATCATTCTAGTGGGAAAAGACATAGCCTTGAGCACATCAAACAAGAAGTCCCACCTGACATTATCATAGGCTTTCATTAAATCAACTTTCATAGCACACTTAGGAGAGGGTGACTTTTTGTGATACCCCCTCATAAGTTCCTGGGAGAGGAAAATGTTATTAGCAATTTTTGCCTTGGACAAAAGCCGACTGGACAGGATCAATAATGTCAGGGAGCACACCCTTAATCCTGTTAGCAATAATTTTAGCAATACACTTGTAAATGGTGTTACAGTAGGATATAGGTCTATAATCTCCTACCTTAGTAGGATTGGGAACTTTAGGAACCAAAGCAATAGTAGTGCTATTAATCCCCTTCAGTAACTCACCGGAGTCAAATAACGACTTAATGACAAGAGTGACTTCAGAGCCCACAACCTCTCAAGCACTATGGAAGAAACTAGCAGAGAACCCATCAGGGCCACGGGCCTTGTTGGGATTAAGGGATTTAAAGACATCTTTGATCTCATCAACAGTCACATCTCTAGCCATAGAGACCATTTGGGCATGAGTCAACCTCTTATTAACTAAGGAGTTAACTCTCCCAAAACCATTATAATCATCAGCATGAGGAGACCCAAACAGATTAGAGAAATTAGCAACAAAAGCATTGTGAAAATTAGGACGGTTAGTGAGCCTAACCCCATTATCTAGGGTAACCCCACTAATGCTGCTCCTATTCTGGTTATTTTTAATGGACCTGAAGAAGAAAGCATTGTTCCTGTCACCTAGACTAAGCCACTGGACTCTAGACTTTTGGTGAGCAAGGCTTTCCTCAGCATTGCACAAATCAACATACTTTTTGCACAAATTTCTCTCATTAACTTGGAACTCCAAGTTTAGATCAAGCTTGATTTGAGCATTTTCAAGCTTAGATCTGGCACACTGAACCCTAGAGGACACACTGAAGTCTCTCTTATTCAAACCCTTCAACAGAGGTTTTAGGGATCTCAGCTTACAACGGGTTCTAAACATGGAAGAACCTTGCACATACTTCCACCAGACACTCCTAACAATAGGAATGAACTTCTTGTGGTCAGCCCATAATTTAAAATATTTAAACGGCTTCCTATAACTAACACCTTTAGGAACAACAGACAAGATAGCAAGGGAACGGTCAGAAATACCAACAGGGCAAAATTTGACATGAGAAAAAGGGAAAGTTTTGAACCATTGGTCATTCCTCAAAACTCTATCAATCTTAGAAGCAATATAGTGGCCATCAGACTGTTTGTTAGCCCAGGTGAACTGGCAGCCACTGTATGATATATCATCTAAAGAGGCCTGGAGACAAGAAAAGTTACACAAATCTTTAGCACTAGACCAAGATTTGGAACCCCCAATTTTTTCAGAAGGGAATCTTATGGCATTAAAATCACCCAGCCAAACAGATGGGATTTTGGATGATTGGAAGGCAATTTCCACAAGTTGCTCAAAAAGTAAAATTCTCAATTTCTCCCTAACTGTGAGAGGCATAAATTTCTCTTGGAAGGCACTGACAAAAGCCTCCCAAGTCACCTCAATTCACCCATGCCCATACTTCCATCACTGACTCGCATCTCCCTTCAACTGGAAAAACGCCAAGGTCACTCTCAACTGGTCGTCCTCAATGTCAAGCATCTCGAACATTTTCACTATCTACTCTAGCCACTCATCTGCCTTCAGCGGCTCATTGGGATCACCCAAAAACTTGTCCGGATTTATGCGACCGGAAGAACTCCCTCTTCAAGAAAGATGGCCCTACCTCAGCTACTTGGGCCTGGACTTGATTTTCAACCCCGAGAATGTCCATGGACTCTTGCAATGCTCCTGTAATTTCGCGGGCTAAGGCATCCATGGCCTGCTGACCAACTGGTTCGGCCACGTTGGCCAGACCAACACCCTCCTCTTGTGCTAGAATATCATCCGATACTGGCATCTCCTGCCGTCTTGGCCTATCACGCCTACCACCACCACGTCCACATCCTGACATCATAATAAAGGTAACGAAGGAGATTAGAACATTTACAAATGTGCCCAAGGTAACTCACTCGCATCCTAATGTAATGGACAACAATAAATCACTCGATATAAGCACGTAATCACATAAACACCTATGAATTTCCTTCCTAGATAATGACCGTCCCATGGCGTTACTAGAGTTTCAATTAGAAATAGCAGTGATCAAGTGCTCTACTAATAAGACTTCCAGAAACCCGTAGACCTAATCAATATCTTAGGAACTAAATTTTATACCCATATAATCATATAAGTATGTTACCATATAAGCATACAATACATACTAACGTCTTAACCAAGCGAGACAAACCTATTATGATACTAACCATTCCCCACGTACCTAAAGTATTCAAACCCGGTACGCTCTGATACCAAGTTGTCACGCCCCCAAATTATTACAATAAATCCCATTATTATAACAGAATGTTAATGAAATAATTATGCTTTCATTCATTAGAGTTTACATTACAAAAGATGACATATGCCATATACATTCATAAATGTACATTCTAAATCTATAGCATGTAATACCAATTAATGATCAACAAAAATAAGTGCCCTATGGGCTTACACCTTTCCAAGACATTGCTTGGTTATAACAAAAGAGAGTGTCATAAACTCTATACATATAAAGCATTTGGCTTGAATAAACATTAAGTACAAAACAACAAAATAGAGCATTCAGCTCCTAGGTCCTCCAAGCTACGTCCTTGGAGGAAGCATATCACCGGTACCTGAAAATGTTTTCCCAAAGTAGGGTGAGCCAAAACCTAGTAGAAACAATCTAACATAATACATGAGAATTAACGAGATGTAAGCATGATGCACATTTTCATTGTCCTACAACAAAATCTTTATAACTTTATCCAAAACCATAGTGTGCCAAACTTACATTTCATTCTATTCATTTTAGTCCGATATATATATATATATATATATATCCACTACTTTTAATCTGCTCAACAAAGGATACACCTTACAAGCCTCCAACAAATTAAAATCATCACACAATACATTCACTTCTCTTTGCCATTTTACGAAAATTTCGTCTGCGGAAACCAGCACCCATGTACACAAATGGTTTTCGAGACTTTCACCCTGGACACACGGGCCAACTTAATTCAATGGAGTACATCTCCTTTCTTCTCCTCTAAACATGGAGTACATCTCATTTCTCCTCCTAAATATCATACATAAACAATGTATATCATTCATAATCATATTCAATGATAATGGTTAAAAGATTAGTTTCAATTCGCCTAATCCACATACAATGTCTACAACAATCATAACTATCCTCCACCAATTGCCCAAAACAGTTATCTCTAAACAGATATACAATCTTTATAACAGATAATTCATCAAATTTCAGTAGGTGAGTGATTAAACAAATTCAACAACACCGTTCATGTATACATCCTCTGAATTTCACATTTCCTATCCCAATTTCATTAATTGTACAAAATAATTATTCAAGATATTTTAGAGTAAAGCTTCTAATTTTTTCAAATATTAATCCCAAGGCCAAAATCAATTATTTTGACACTGGATAACCTCATATCCAAACCCCATAACCATTTATACAACACTCACATAGAAACCCCTCTTTCATACTTTGACCCAAACCCTAGGTTTGCTTAAAACTTCCCCAAAATCTCACCATTTTCATACAATAACCTATAACCAAGTTAAAACTCATATTAAGGTGTAGAGAGTCCCTACCTCAAGTTTAGAAGACTTATAGAGCAAGCACGAAACTCCAACGACGCTGAAACCAAATTTTAATCAGTTCAAAGTGAAGCTCCCAAGATGCTCTACCCTTTTTCCAAAGGCACTAGGGCGGAGAGATCAACGGATCAAAGAGAAAAGTAGAAACATAGAGTATTTTAGAGAGAGAATGTCTCACTTTTGGGTTTTTAGAAGAAAAGATCTGAAAAAATGATGTAAAAAATCATTTTCGTGAACTGATATATGCACAGTCCACTCGAGCGGAAGAGTTGACGCTCGAGCGTCAAACACAATAAGTTGTTCTGTTCGAGCGCAAGAAGAGGCTCGCTCGAGCGCAGAATACACACCTCCAGTACTTTTGCAGCAACAGACAAATTGCTTGAGCGCAAGAAGGGATGCTCGAGCGGCCACCCGCTCGAGCATAGGAAACGCCGTTCAAACGTGGAAAACACCCCTCCAGTATTTTTTGCAGACGTGCAAAGTACTGAGGGTTTGCTAACCCCGCTCGAGCGAAGGACCAAAATTTTGGGCAGCACAAGGTTTGAAAACTAAGCAACCAACCTATTCCTGACACACTCAACACGTCCAAATAAGTAAATTTTAGGAGGAATAAAGAGTAAAAGACAATGAACGACACTCAGAAATCGTAAGCCCGAGTCTGAACTACCACAAGTGTCGGTCAAAACTGGGATCGTTATACGAATGGTAAGTATTGTGCTTATAAATGGTAAATACTAAATGATATTTTACTTATTACTCAATTAGACCTTATTTACTCCTCAATCAGATTCTACTTACTACTCTTTCATACTCTACTTACTATTCCATCTAACTTGATTCAATCAAACATAATTATTACTCAATAAGATCCAATTACTATTGACTGGTAAGTAGAATGAAAACAAATTGTAGGTAAAGTCACAGTGACTAACAAATAATAAATTAGAAATATGAATTTTAAATTACTAAACAAAATGTAAAAGTTTATCCGATTTCATTTAGTATTGAAAAAAATACCACTTCATTTGACTTGACTTACTATACAAAAAAACTATCCCACGTTATTCGAGGGAATCGCAGAACCTATTTTTGTGTGGATTTTCAATAATTTATTAGACATAACTCGGTGCTTTTTAAAATATCACTTCATTTGACTTGATTTACTACTCAATTAAATCTCACTTATTACTTAATGAGACTACTTACTTCATTAAACCTAACATACTAATTAATAAAATCCCACTTACTAGTCCATCAAACTTGAGTAGTAAGTTTAAAATGAGTAGTAAATTGTTTCATGATAAGTAGTAAGTTCAAAACAAGTGGCAAGTAGAATAAAAAAGTATGATAAATAGAATCAAAACGTATGGTAAATATTATATTTATAAATGGTAAGTACTTGGTCATCTAATGGATGAGGTCCATTTTTATCTCTTCCTATCTCATTAAATTACACTTACCACTATATTAGATTTCACTTACTATTTCATTTCTTTTGGTTTATCATTTCATTCAACCATGCTTACTAATTGATGAGACTCTACTTACCACTTTTTCATATTTTACTTACTATTCAAATAAACCCTACTTACTACCACTTCATTAGACTTGACTATTACTGAAATAAATTTCACTTGCCATATCTTTAGACTTGATTTGCCACTCAAATAAACCTTACTTGCTACCACTTAAATAGACTCCATTTACTACTTCATTATTCTTGACTTACCATTTCATTCAATTATACTTTACTAGTTGACGAAACTCCACTTACCACCGCTTCATTAGACTTGACTATCATTGAAATAAACCCCACTTATCACATCTTTAGACTTGATTTACCACTCAAATAAACCCTACTTACTACCACTCAAATAAACTCCACTTACTACTTCATTATTTTTGGCTTACTATTTCATTCAGCCATACTTACCAATCGATGTGATTCCACTTTTTAAAACTTCACTTACTATTCAAATAAACTTCACTGTGTATGCAAATGTTAAAATAAAAGAGTTGAGAGATAGAGACATAGATAAAATGACAGAGGGATTAGAGAAATGGTTTTCCAACAAAATCTTAAAAGTTATAAATTAAAATATCACACAATGTTAAAATAAAAGAGAGATAGAGACATTGATAAATTGTTATCTAAAAATTATCTTCAATTTGTAAAATCTAAATCACCCTATTTCATTTATTCTTTATGAAAAAATATAGAAAAAACACAATCTTGGTCATTGTGTATGCAAATGAGTTGAGAGTTCTTCTACATTTTCCTAATTAACTATATTCTTATATAGCAATTAATGTTTTCAAACATAATAGGTAAAAGAAAGTAATTACTATACATTTATTCATTTAGTACCATTAATAAATATTCACAAATGGGAGGTCTTTTTAAGTTATTTTATTCTATTTTATTTTCAATTTATACTTTACAATATTTTAGATATTAAAAAATATTATGAAGAAAACTTATGAATTTTATGAAGAAAAAAAAAAATTCATTATGGATACTAAATTGATAAAAATATATATATATATATATATATGAACATAATGCTTGGGACCCCCCACTGGGGGTGACCCCCAGCACCCCCAGTAAGCGGTTATTGACCATTTTTTTTTTTTTTTTCCTTCAATCACCAACCCCCGCGTGTGTGTGGCGTTGGTGGGGGTAGAGAATAGTGGGGGTTTGTATCATAGTTGCAAAAAAAAAACTCACTATTTTATATAATTAGTAAATT